TTCTTTCAAAAATTTATTTTAAATCCATACGTTTCGGCTATAATCCTAGCCTTCATTCAGTGGAAACTAAAAATAAAATTAAAAACTAAAACAATTGAATTGGAGTGAAAAGAAAAAATAAAATAGTAATTAGTACTTACAATTAGTTAATCTTAGTGTTAAATTGGAAGATTTTAATAATCCATGGTATCAGGATATGCTAATGCACTACACTATTATGTATTATAAACATTAACTTGAAATTACACAATATTTTCACAAAATACTGATTTGAAAAAATCACAAATGGATAGTGTGTTATTCGTAGACTGGTTGAAGATGTAATGGAGAAAGACATTTTTTAAAAAATATTTTTACCTAGATTCTAACATGTGTGGAACGAATTGCGAATCCTTTGCACGAACGCTTTTATTGTTTTGTAAGAAATTTGGAAATGTTATCTAAATAGAAGAGATTTGTGTCGCACAGCGTGTTAAGTTTATTCCGTTTATTTATTGTTTTATTGCTGTAAATAGTTAAAAAAGATCCTTCTATAATTCTTCGTTTGAATAAATTTTGTTCGAATTGTAGTACAGTCGGGTTAGAAAAGTCCATATTGTGTTTTAAAGTATAAATATGCTCTGCTATCCACTAAGATAAGTGGTTTTTTGTAATTTTTGCCATTTATTTCTACAATATCAATATAGTTTTATCGTTCATTAAATCTTAAACATTTTCTTTGACAAACTCTAAAAAGAATTATCAAAATCCGAATAACCGTTTAGGAGGAGTATCAAATCATACATCCATCCAGAAGAATTTTATATATAAGATATAATAATAATAATAATAAGCCCGAAGGCAGGTCCATGGTGTATATCTATAAGTATATATATATATATATATATATATATATATATATTTGAATAGTTTTGAATTTGATGTTGATATATATGTTTAATTTGAGTTTAATATTCGGGCGTAACATCAATAAAAATAGTATGAGAGTTTTTTTAGAAATATATTTATTTAAAATCCATACGTTTCGGCTAGCATCTTAGCCACCATTCAGTGTTAATCAATTTAACTATAAAAATTAAAACTAAATAAATAATATGTAAGAAATTTCATAGAAAAAGAATAATAATAATAATAATAATGATAATGATAAAACACTTACAATTTTATATTCTAATATAACATATGAAACCATTATTATTATGGATTAATAATTGTTTCATATGTTATATTAGGATACAAAATTGTAAGTGTTTATTATTATTATTATTGTTATTGTTTTTCTATGAAATTTCTTACATATTATTTATTTAGTTTTAATTTTTATAGTTAACTTTATTACCACTGAATGATGGCTAAGATGCTAGCCGAAACGTATGGATTTTAAATAAATAAACTTTTAAAAACCTCTCATACTATTTTTATTGATGTAACGCCCGAATTTTAAACTCAAATTAAACATATATATATATATATATATATATATATATATATATATACATATATTTTAGAGTATTTGGAATCTGTCCTGGAAGAATTGGGATTGAAGCATTCTCTAGGAGATTTGGTACAATGGCCTTCTCTCTTAAGATGCTCCCGAGACAATTATTCAATGCAAAGCAGTGGCAGTAATCCAAGATTAGTTAGCGCTGTGAGACAAATGAGAGAAATTACATCGACGATGTAATTGGTATGGGAATATATATATATATATATATATATATATATATATATAAAGATATATATATATATATATATATATATATATAAAATTTATTTTAAAATAATAGACTAATATATCTTGAAATTATTCAGTATAATGTAAATATGAAAATAAATACAATTATTTTATTTTATGTCGTAATATGTATTCAATATGTATTATGTATATGTATAATATGTATTTTGTATTTTATACAAAAACTTTTTATTAATGTTTTTTCAAATTTTTTTATGGACTATTTTGACCATGATTTTTTTCAAAAAAAATTTTTGTAAAAAATATCAGCCGGTTGATTTTTTCACAATTTTTTGTCATTCAATGATTTTATAAAAATTTATTTTGACAATAATTTTTTGTCATTGATTTTTTCATATTTTTTTATTTATTTTTATTATTATTAATTTTGATTTAATTTTTGTTGTCAATGATTCTTTTCAAATTTGACTGATAAATGTAGATTTTTTTGACACGTTTTGAACGGTTACCAAATTAAAATTTTGGGAAAAAAATTTTTGGTCAAAAAAATTTTGGTCCAAAAAATTTTGAGAAAAAAATTTTGGTCCAAAAAATTTTGAGAAAAAAATTTTTGGTCAAGAAAATGTTGGTCAAAAAAATTTTGGTCCAAAAAATTTTGGGAAAAAAATTTTTGGTCAACAAAATTTTTGGTCCCAAAAATTTTGGAAAAAAATTTAGGTCCAAAAAATTTTGGGAAAAAAATTTTTTGCCAAAAAAATCTTGGTCCAAAAATTTTGGGAAAAAAATTTTGGTCAAAAAAATTTTGGGAAAAAATTTTTGGTCCAAAAAATTTTGATCCAAAAAATTTTTGGTCAAAAAATTTTTGGGAAAAAAATTTTTGGTCCAAAAAATGTTGGTCAAAAAAATTTTGGTCAAAAAAATGTTGGGAAAAAAATTTTGGGAAAAAAATTTTTGGTCAAAAAAATTTTGGGAAAAAAATTTTTGGTCAAAAAAATTTTTGGCCAAAAAAATTTTGGTCCAAAAAATTTTGAGAAAAAAATTTTTGGTCAAAAAAATGTTGGTCAAAAAAATGTTGGTCAAAAAAATTTTGGAAAAAAAATTTTTGGTCCAAAAAATTTCTGGTCCAAAAAATTTCTGGTCAAAAAAATTTTTGGGAAAAAAATTTTTGGTACAAAAAATTTTTGGTCAAAAAAATTTTGGGAAAAAAATTTTTGGTCAAAAAAATGTTGGTCAAAAAAATTTTGGTCCAAAAAATTTTGGTCAAAAAAATTTTGATCCAAAAAATTTTTGATCCAAAAAACTTTGGTCCAAAAAACTTTGGTCCAAAAAATTTTGATCCAAAAAATTTTGGGAAAAAAATTTTTGGTCAAAAAAATTTTGGTCCAAAAAATTTTGGTACAAAAAATTTTGGGGAAAAAAATTTTTGGTCAAATAAATTTTGGTACAAAAAATTTTTGGGAAAAAAATTTTTGGTACAAAAAATTTTTGGTCAAAAAAATTTTGGGTCGTGTGCTACTGATGAACTGAAAATTCCAAGCCAGCAACGGTTGCTATGGAACACGGTTACGAAATTAAAATTTTGGTCATACATAGCAACGGTTTCCACGAAAAGACAAAAGTCTTTCTTAAAAATTTGGTGTTAAAAATAGTCGAATGGCCGAGAGCGTTAAGTGACCACCTCTCCTTGTCGATTTGAGGTCCGACAGTTCGATCCCAGGAAGAGTACAAAAAAGCCGGTGGTATTTTTAATGTAACTTCAGATTTGGATAAAAGTCTTTCTTAAAAATTTGGTGTTACAGAGTAGTGAAATGGCCGAGAGCTTTAAGTGACCACCTCTCCTTGTCGATTTGAGGTCCGACAGTTCGATCCCAGGAAGAGTACAAAAAAGCCGGTGGTATTTTTAATGTAACTTCAGATTTGGATAAAAGTCTTTCTTAAAAATTTGGTGTTAAAAAGTAGTGGAATGGCCAAGAGCGTTAAGTGACCGCCTTGTCGACCAGAGGTTCGACGGTTCGATACCAGATAAAGTACCAAAAAGTATGAAGTGATATTTTTAAGGTATCTTCGTATTTAGACAAAAGTCTTTCCCATTTAGCGTTGAAATAACCGGGTAAAGAAAT